TTCCACACAAAATTCTGCCTGTAGGAAGTTTGTGCTTTCCAGCTTTCCAGCTGGTTTCTCACAGGGAGAAAAGTAAAAGTGGAGCAAAGCCCTCATTCTCATCAAGAATGGAATTGAAATTAAGCCATTAATGTGGATACTTTTGAAGGTTTTTTAAAGCAAAAATGGGATTTTTTTTAAAGAAATTATTGCTTTGTGTCTATTTCTATGCAATGTGTGTGTCTATTTGTGTACAAAATGAATCACATGTGACCTAAAGGAAAAAAAGATGTCATAATAAGTGGAAAATAGCATTTCAAAATGTTGATGGACTTCCACATTTTACACACCTTAACACAGAAGAGAATATTAGGTAGAAATTGGTAACTCACAAACCCAAAATTTCTGGTGTTCAAAGACCTGATCTTGATTTCATAAAAGCCTTTGCTAAGATTTCTTTCCCTCTGTTTTATTTTGTAGATATTATTTTATTGTATATCAGGGGTAGCAGAATTTTATCAAAGAAACAAAACAAACAAAGGACTAAAATATCTGAATTCCCTGTGCCATCAGTCAACCAAAATCAAAGTTTGATGCAAATCCCTTAGAACTCATGGAAGTTAATTCTCTGACCAGTCTTACTAGAAGAGCTATAGAGGCTGCCTAATATTATGTCACATATATTTGCCAGAATGAAGTGATTTTTTTAGTCTTTCAAGCCTAAAAGCACTTTAAAAAATAAAAATGTCCCATGTTATTAATGGTTTACACCTACATATTACTGTACAATTAAAGAGTAGTAGCACATGTAGTAACACAAACCCTACAAGGCTCGGGCTCGCTCTGTTTGACCCCCCCCCAAAAACTGCAATTGTTTCTCAGGCCCAGCTTTTTAAGCATTAAAAACAACTAAAATAAGGTTTATTACCTGGTTTGCTCTGGAGGAGTTACACTTTTGTGATTCTTTAAGCTCTTTAGAACTCCCTCATCCCATTTGCTCTGCTGGAGATCTTTAAACCCACTCTCTTCATAGTTCAAAACAACATAACAAGATTAGGCCGCGAGCCAAGGAAATCAACCCCGTGCCAATTCCAGGCCTTGGAATTCTAATTAGAACCTCATTTGTATTAACCTCCATTTCTAACATCAGGACAATATCATCACTCCTGTGATTATGTCACTGCAGTAATTATCCTTTCCAGGAATGTATTGCAAGATGGGAACAGTGCAGGGTAATCCTAACAGGACGACTCGTGTGAGGTTATTAATAGGTGATCATTCCAGAAATATATATATATGAATCTACAGATGTTTAATAGAAAATGTGATAAGGAGATAGTCATTCATTAGCAAGAAGAATCTGATAAACAAGAGGATGTATAATATGTCCTAATCTAGTGAAAAGTCTCTCAGTGGGCTTGGAACAGAATAATTTGGTCTTTGGTCAAATTTTAGGGTTTTTCATATTATCAGGTGACCCAGGACAGTGAGATGGGAAGTAAAGCATTCTCAGGAAAAGGTCATTTTTGTAGAAGGGATCTCTGCAAAGTCCAACAGAACACCAGCCAGAACACCTTTTCATATAAAGGAATAAATTTTAAAACCAAAACATATATTTTAATGCACCACCTTAATGAACTTAGGAGAAAATCCTGTGGTTTAAATCACAGGTTATTTCTCTCTTGTGCTGAAGAGAGCTTGGAAAGCACACACAGAAATAAATATTGAAAATACACTTGCAGCACTAATTCACCCAGCTACTGTCACTGAAATTAAAATAACAGTCATATTTTCAACAGAAAACTGCCTAAAGATGAGTATTGTCAGTGATGTGTGCAAGTTAAATTTAGCACAATCCCAACAAAACCTGGGGATCTATGGAATGCTTGTGTTTGTGATGATGTGTTTGGCACAGCAGGATCATCTATGAACGTGAATCTCAGAGTGTGAGAGCACTTCTGGTGCATGTTTGAGCTGCTGTTTTGCCATGAAGATGCTATTTTTGTTTCCGTAGAAAGACAGACGTAAAAAATGAAACCATAAATGTCCTTTTGGGGTTCACTGCCTCAGAACAAGTCAGCTAAACTTCAGAACCCTCAGGAGATTATTAATTGTGCCTTAAGTGATGGATTCAGATCGTATTTCCACATGGTAATGATCAATACTGTCTGAAAAAATAATTCAAATATTCACAGGACATCTTAAGCTGAGCACCAAAATTATTTCTCACCTCTGAGGACTTAAGTACAAGTCTTCTTTGTGGACAAAATTATTTTGTGCAAGGAAGAAAACTCCTATAAAAACAGCCATGAAAATATGTTTGAGTGTTATCCTGGACTAGGGGAAAGTGTCCCTGGAACAGGATGATCTTTAAGGTCTGTCCCACAGATTTCCATGCCAGGTTCTGGCAGCCAAGTGGGGAAATGCAGATGGGAACTTGTTGCTTGGGGCTTTAATCAAGCTCAGCTGCCACAAAACCTCTCTCAAATATTTTGAAAGCCTTTCAGAGTTTATAATGCTCTGCTTGGTGTTTTACAAGCCACTGGGCTCCATTTCATTGAAGAAGTTTGTTTTGGAATATCACGAGGGACAACCACATGAGCAGAACTTCCAGTTGATTCTCCCCAGAAGTTTGTTGCCTGTGCAGCTCCTCTGAACACAGAGCAGAGAAATCCTACATTTTAATGCACTCAAAACCAGGCAAAGTTCCTTCCACCAGAAAATATGATTGATTGTTCCAATGACAGTAATTGCATTTTAGTAAAAGTAACCATTATGGTAATTTTTCCTCCAGGAAGAGACGTTTAACTAACTTAAGTAACTTGTTACTTTTCAACACATTAACTTTGGCAAATTTCACATTACAAACGTACAGAGTTCACAGCCACAACAACGTGCACCACTCAGGGAGTGTGCACACTTTTTTCATTCTATATATCAAGCAGTGTTTCCAAATAGTATCTGCTAAAAGAGAAAAAAAAAAAACCAACCAAAAAACTGTGCATTCATAACACAGCATTAATTAAACTGCTAAGAGCAGCTCTAACACGTCCCCTGCCAAGTCTCCTGTTGAAAAATTCTGCCTTTCCAAGTAGCAAAGTTTGTATCATTGGGAGATATTAATTCCAGGGATAAAATGCCAGCTCTGGGAACAGCAGAATAAAGGGAAAGCAAAGCAGATCAACAGCGACTCACGACACACCAGCCAGAGAGGTGGGTGGTGAGTGACAGACCCAGGAAAGCTCAGGGTGCAAAACAAGGGTGCAGAACTCTGGAGCTCCAGATCACAACACATCAGAGAGCAATTCCTGTGCCAGACCACCTGTTACATCACTGGGACATCTAGAATGTTCTAAAAAAACCCCATATTAGCATTTAATTTCACGTATGGCTTCCAAGCAGCACTTGAATCCCAGCCTGACCCCTGCACTGTGAAAGAGGTGCATCATTTTGAACACCCTGCTATTTTATGAGCATTCAGTGCCCCTCAGGTTGTAGGAACTTCTCATTAAAGTGTAGCTTCTGATAATTAAGAGCTACAGCAACAAAATAATTTAAGCAGCCAGGGTTTGTCTCACACAACTTCACAAATTAAAATAAAATCTCTCTGCCTTTGCTTTAAAGATAATAATCATTTCTGGTGCTTTAAAGGGGTTCTAAACTGCAGCTCTTTGCATTGCCATCCTCCTGAACATTTCTACACTGGAAAAGAACTGAAATTAAACTGGATTTAAATGTTGGGTTTTTAAGAAATTTCCTTTAAATGGAAATACCAGGAAAAAAAAAATAAAATCTGAATTTCAATGGATCAGATTTTAAATTCTCACTTCACTTTTCCCCCTGGTCAAAGGAGCACCATTCTGGAGGAGGTTGTGCTTCCACACTCAGGATCTGGGTTGGCAGGTCCAGACTAACAGGTTCTGTGCCATCTCACTCCTCCCTTCAGAGAATCAGAGACCTTTCAGCTCTGTTCACTCAACTCTTTCAGTGGGAAATACTCTATTCTGGAATTTAAGTGGATTTTTTGAATGGATTCAGATTAGGGAGCTTCAGTTTAAATTGTGGTTTAAGTATTTAGCTGGGACAGTCAATGGTTTTACTCTACTCTTATTTAAAGATCTCACTTTTAAGGACAACAATAAATGCTATAAAGGTGGAGGAGAGTCTAGACAAAGATACAAAGGGCTAAGAAATAAAAAGCTGGAGTAATAATCTGTATTATCTCAAAGTCTGCTGAACTGCTTTTTCAGCAGCAGCCTTCCAGATAATTTTAGATAAACCCTTAATTATTCTTTTCCTATTTTTTCATTTTTTTTTCTTTGGTTGGTTGGTTAGTTGTATTTTGGGTTTGGGGTTGTTTGTTTTTTCTTTTTAATTTTAAGAACTTGCACCTGTAAATTCATCCATGATTTTTTTGACTTTTATAACCAAAAAGCAACTATTGGGTTGCAAACTCTTAGTGAAGCAAAGCCAGAACTCTTAAACAGTCAGAATGGATTGGAAATCCACACAGTCCAAGAAAACTTTCTTCCCAACATTTTCAGGACAGGGTTGGATTCCCCTCCCTGGAGGGATTTCAAAGCCCTCTGGAGGTGGCATTTGGGGACAGGGGTCAGTGGTGACCTGGGCAGTGCTGGGGGATGGTTGGACTTGATGGTCTCAGAGGAACTTTTCCAACCTAAAGGATCCTGTGGTTCTTTAAGACTAAAAAAATCTCTCCACTGCTGATGATCATCCACACAGAATATTTAAGAAAACATCAGAATTAGTTTGGCTTCTCAAAGCTGAAGTGAAATCAGAAATAAACCAGTGACTGACACACAAACAGCAATAACCTGGGGCACACCTTAAGAGCTTACTAACATTCCACCGTGGAATTTTGTAAGATTATTTTTATAACACAGTGTCCTAGTTACTGTTGAGGAGAAAACTTACAGTTGAAACAGAACTGGCAGCCAACCTCTTTAATTAGTCCTTGATCTTTCCCGTGTCTCCTAAATGACACAAAGCAAACCACATACCTGAATTTTGCTTTGCAGGGTGCAGGAGTTAATTCTTCAATTAATTCCTCAATTAATTCTTCAATTAATTCTTCAGTATCAGCTGAAGGAATTGGTGGTTTGGTGGAGACTTCTCAGGCACTCGAAGCAACTCAGAATAACATCCTGTCCTCAGCTTTGAGCAGGTGTGAGCTGTTAAAAAATCACACAAAGCCCCCAATCAGGGGGTGATCCACCTTTTCCTGCCCACACCCACAGACTGCCTGTTCCCTGCAAAAAGGGGTTAATTCTGCTCACCTGGCAGGAACTCCAAAGAAAGGACACACCTGGAAGAGATTGAGACTTAAATTAAGAACTCCTGTGCATAATGCATTAAATTTGGCAGGAAAGACAGGGGGAAAAAAACCCACCATAACTACTGTTTGCATTGTACTACAAGACTACTTAAATTAAGGGGAATTTGTCTCAAAAAAGGCATTTAATTTTATTGAAGTAGCTGAAATTGTCTCCAAAATTCCAAGCAGCACAGTACTGTGTAAGGCCTGGAAATCTAACAAAAGGAATTGATGCAACCAACCACGATCTGTAACTTTATCCTGATGTCCAACAACACAATAAATGTAATTTGGGATGAGTGAAACTCTGCAATTCTTTGCAATCCAAAGAAAAACCACTTATGAAACTCATGGATTATTTTAGCAAAGTTTTGGAGGGAAGGAATGAGCTGTAACAGTGACAAGTACAATTTCACCCAGGTCCTGTATTTTCCTCCAATTGTTTTGTTGCACAAATACTGAGTGGAACTGCCTAATACAGCAAATATCTGCTGTGAGAGGAGAGAGAACTATTTCAGTGGGTGTGGAAACGTGTTTTGCTTCGTTTGGATCACAGAAGATACAACTTGAGGTTTATTCAGAGCAAACTGGTTAAAGGCAGGCAGGTGTGAGAGACAAAATGAGTCCAAGCCCACACCCTGGGCCCTATCCAAGGTGTGCCTTGGGAGTCAGGGCTTAAAATTATGACCATTAATCCTCTTTTAAAATGTCTGGCTGTTTAGCAAGGAGCCACAGTTTAAACCACAGTTCCACAAGCCCTTTAAACCAGCCCTTGAACACCAAAAAAAAGCAGCTCCTGGTTTCCTTCACACACTTGTTGTGGTCTTAACCCCAGGAAGGTGCTGAGCTTTAAGCCAGCGTAAATATTGGCGAGGCTGGGAAGGAGGAGAGTTCAGAAAGGGATTTAAAGCTCCTGTTTTGGTTTGGGTTGTTCTCTGGGCTGGTTTGAACCCCAATCAGTTCCCCAATCAGTCCAGTGTGCAGCTGCAGGAACATTTGTGCAGGGCAGGGCAGCATCTCTGGCTTATGGTGGCTTAAAGTGTTTGTGGAAGTGCAGTTTGTGGAGTGTAACTGAAGATCTGCTGTAGCCTAACACTGCCAATAATCCACAGATGCCATTCCAGAACACAGGAATAGTTAAAGCATATAAATGGCCCGGCCATGTGCTCTGCAGAGGGGCCTGACAGAGGAGAGCTGAGGAATTGCAGCAACAGCTTGAGAAATATGTGAGTTTTGAGGTAATTGTGTGTCCCAACAGCGAGGACAAAAATGGGATTCCCAAGCCACTTGGGAATTCCACAAAAAGCTGGCTATGTCCACATCCAGAAGTGTTGTCTTTGCCTGATACCACGAGCTTTGTGCCTCAGTGTATCCTGCAGTGTCCAGTCTGCCTGAACACTTTATCTTCATTTCTGTGTTGACAAAGTGACTCTACCACGAGGATTATTCCGAGTTATTTGAAGGGAAAATGTTATAATTAAATTCCGGCTGAATAAAAAATATAACTCCACCAAAAAAAAAAAAAAAAAAAGCAAAAAAGCACGTTTTTACCTGGTACAAATCTCAAGTAGAACTTAAACAAAGCAATAAAGGACATGTTAATATATGTCATGTTAACATATGACAGACATATGTTATATATTGTGCTCAGCCCACTAACTTTTTCTCAGGTGGGAACCAGCTGAGAGGTTTCAAAGATAACAGGATGCTATGATTTTAAAATAACAGTTGAATAGTTTAAAAAAATAATTTTTAAAAATGTTTCTTTCAATATTTTGAAGCTTGTTTGCTAAATATTTGACAATAAGCCTTCAGGATTCAATATTTGACAACAAACCTTCAGGATTCTTCTGTGCTAGTTAATATGGATGAAACATCCAGCCCTCCTGTAAAACAAAACACAGATGACTCAGTGAATTCCTGATATTTTAATGACAATAAAACTTGGAAACCAATCTAGATTGGGACTATTAGTTGAATGAAACAAGAAAAAACCTGCTCTTTTCCCTTCTTCCCTGGCCTGAGCCTGAGAACTTCCATGGCAATGCCCATTAAACCTGGCAAAGGGGGGTGGATCTGAGCATCCAAACTCTGAGTTTTTAACAAAAAAAGGCAAAACTAGGCACTGCTGTGCACAATTCCAGGAGGAAAAACCCCTGCTCTTTCCACCCAAATGGCAGCCAAGCAACTGCTGCAGTGGAATGAGCCTTCCAAGCCATGGGAATGTCTCTCCTGGGAGCTGGTTAAGCTTCCTTAACACTCTTAATCCACCTGGATATGGAGCTGCCAGACACGCTGGCACCCACCTTCCCAATTCCACAGGGCTGCCCAGGGGGTTGAGGGTTTCTTTTCCCTCCCTGTGGATCCTCACAGGCTCTGGGACACAAAATAATTCAGTTTTCCATAATTTTTCCTGTGTCCTTCAAGAGGTGCCCTAATGGAAGTGAAAACCTCTCATGAATTTGAGAAAAAACAAAGTGATAATGGGGAAATAAATTCTAGGTTTCTCTGGTACAGAAAGATGTTATTTAGGGAATGGTATAGAAAGAGGGACCTCTAAAGCAGCTGTCCTGGCTGTGCCATTAAATAGTTCATCAAATATTCATGGGAAAAAGAGGAATGGCTTCAAGGTGGTGGTGCTCCAATGGAATAATCCCAATGTTTTGGGGCAAATATGGGAAAAATCCACCATCCATGTGTGTGTGTTTCACCTTCCCTGATGCTCTGTGTGAAATAAAACCACTTTTCCCCCTGCAGTTCCACAAAAGTTGATTACTTGATGTTCCTAAAACCAGGTGTGTGCACCGTGGATCACTAAAAACAACCTTTGTTCTCCTTGCCTAAAAATTTCAAGGCCAAAAAAGAAAAAAAAAATGTAGGAAGGCTGATGCTCTGTAGAAAACTTTCCAGTTAAATGGAGGGGAAAAAAAAAAAAAAAGGTTAAATTTTATCCTTTTTAAAACAGCCTGAACTGAAAAAAACTTCTCATTGTAGGGAGTAAAAGGAATTTTGCCATCTCAGATATTAACGTGTTATCTGTTCAGTGTCTGAATTGTAATTATTGTAAATTAGTGTTAATTAATTAATTTTTCCAGCCATTTGCTTTTGCAGAAAGGTTTTATTAGCCTAAAACTGCTGCCTCTAGAAGCAGGAGGATTTCTTCTTCCACATAAAAACTTGTAAGGGTTAATTCTACATTCTCCAGTCACAAGAAACCATTAAATTATTAGCAATAATAAACAATTAAATTATAACCAATGGATCTTCACATTTCCCTTCTGCGATTCCAAATGACCAATTTTCAAATTTGGGGTTATTTGGGATAATTTGATAAATTATTTGGGATTGTTTGATAAATCTTTGGCTCCCAGTTGCCATCTCTTTCTGAAAGCAATTATTTCCATTTTGGAGCCTCAATTTCTGGACATTTGAGCAAACCCAGTGTCCTCCAAACCATCTGAGCCTTCCAAAAGTCCTCCTCTCATTATCATCCTTTAACAATAATAATGGAAACTTTATTATTATCATCTGTTGAACCAAAACCTGGCATTAATTTGTCTCCCCCAGCACCCTGTGACTGAACCAAATAATATTGCCAGGAATGTTATCCTGACTGAGGTTTTAAATGGTAACTCTGCAAAAAACCTCTCAAATCCACACTTTTCCTCTGTTTCCTGAAAAACTTCTCTGCTACTTGTAACCTGGCTGAAAATAATATATATAAATAATAGAGTAATAAATATGGAGACACAATTTGGGATTAAAGTCTGGAATTAAAACACACATCAGAGCCTGGAAAATCAGCCAACCCTCCTGATCCCACTCTCCCAGTCCTCACAGAAAGATTCCAGGATATTTTGGATGGCATCATAAGTAGTGACATCCCTTCAAGTATTTTAAGGGTTTCAAAAGAGCCAAAAGTCACATTGACACAATAATTCTGAAGAGCACACAGTCAAACACTCCAAATATCTGCCAGTCTCACCCCTTTGGCTGCTTTGCTCTCCTATTTCTTTAAATTTGCAATTTAATTGCAAATTGTTCATCTAAAGTATCTAAATCTTTACCAACAAATAATATATGTATGTGTATAAAACCTTTAGAATTTAGTATCACTGTCAGGAAACTGTAGCAAAAAAAGCCCCCACTTGTATCATATTGTAGGGATTTATCAAAATTAATGTTGAAAACATGACAATGTTGT